TGGTTAGTATGCTCTGTCCTAGGTCTCAGTCCGTCCAGGAGCCTATCTAACCGTCACCCGGGCCCTGCATCCGTCAGTGCCTATGGCCAAGGGCGAGGCGACAAGCGAGACCAAGGTCAGCACGAAGGAGCGACGCTTCCCGGCGCCAGCGGGGGCGGCGTCTAGCTCCCCTCCCCTCCCGGGCCTTGGGGTGAGCTCCGGCCCTGCCTCGGGAACCTGGACGTACCCCCAGCCTTGAGCTCCTGAATCTGGGACTGCACCCCCTCCAACCCGAACTCTACTTCTCCTCACCTGCGCGCCCACCCCCCCCCACTCCTCCTGGCCCCCTCCCTCTCTGCTCCTCCTAATATCCACCCTACCCCCTCTGGGAGGGCTAGGATCGTTGCCAAGGAAACAGCTCCGCCTCCGGTTTCCGGAGGCACCGCCCCTACCTCCCAGTAAGTACAGCGATTGGCCGGGGGAGCTTGTCCTCTCGTCGTCCCGCCTCCTCCCTCTACACCAACTGCTAGGCGTTACTGGTCGCCAGGGAACGCGAGGCGCCTTTCTGATTGGATGGGGGGGAGGGCGGGCCGGTTCCACCTACCCAGCGGTTCAGAAAGGCCTGCGGGAAGGCTGAGAGGGAGGTTCCCGGCGTCTCCCTTCCAGTGGTCCGCCTGGTGTTTTCAGAACTTTTCCCGCCCTCATTTACCGTTCATTATGTCTTATCTCCCTGAAGAAAGCCAAGGGATCTGGAAAGGGACAACCTTCCTCCCCTGGTCTTCCGCAGGCTTCCTTTCCCAGCACTTTACTTTCTCGCACAGGTTCCCGGTGCCGGTGCCGAGGGGGCCGGTTGGCGGATCCTCCCGCAGAGGAGGCTGCTTTCTTTTCTATTACTTGCCTATCCCTTTCACCTTTCCCCAAAGTGAGAGCCTTAGTCCCTGGTTCCTGGATTTTCTCCCAGAGAGGCAGGGATCCTATGGGACTTACTTCCAGGTGAGGCGGGGGTGGTGAAGTTCAGGAGAAACAGAGAAACTTCTGGCCTTTAAAGGAACTAAGCACTCTCCAGTCCTGGCTTGAACAGAAGCTTGTAGAAGGAAACCTAAGAAACACTGCCCTTGGTGCCGCTTTGAATCAAGGGAAAAGTTATTCTGGAAAACAATTCTTATCCCCGTTTTTTACCCTTGCTGCTGAAAGTATTTTGGTAGCGATCTTTGACAATTGATGAGCCAAATTCTCGCTGTGTGAGTGATGCAGAGGCCAAGATCGTTTTCTCGTTGCCTTCTCAGACAAATGAAGGAAAGAAACTGGTTTAGGAGGAAAGATGGCACCTTCCATTCTCCTGAAAAGAGATGAGAACAAGAATCTGGAGAATTGCAAGTAGTACAAGCTTAGAGAAAACAGAGGCTTACACACAGAATCACAATTACCTTCCTACAAATAAAGCAGGAGCACTTTCTTCCCCTGCAGAGGAACAGCTTCCAGCTCCAGACCTGTCTCCCACCCCCTAAATGTCCTAAAGCCTTCTGTGAAGAATGGTTCACACCATCCAGCACTAGAGGCCCCACAGGGGCAGGACACCCGGCAAGGGCATGGACTACGGAAGGAGCAGGGCCTGGAGCACCCTTTGGTCATTCCCAAAGCACTCACACAAATGAGAAGCAAAAGTCTCATGAGACTCTTTTCTCTGACCTCCAACCTGCTAACCCACTAGAAGATTTACACAGGAGAGCACAGTGTGTGGCAAGGCCTCCAGCCACAGCTCTGACCCCCGTCCTATTGCCTGCAGCCCTCTCCATGAGGCCCACATGTAGTGGAAGTCAGGCCAAGGCTGCAAGCTGCTTTGGCACCCACATTACCATGTGGAAAACCAGTCTTCCCAGTGCCCAGAGCAGAAGAGTCGCAGACTTCAGGCAGCCTCCTCCAGCACCAGTCCTATCCACACAGTGGGTTGGAGAAACAACCAGCCTGCCAACCACTCACCCATTGCAATGAGAGGCTCAAGACCAGGGAATCCTCTGATATAGGTCCCAGCTTGAGCCGGCACCAGCTAATTCGAGGCCATAGTCCACTGACCTTATTCTACCACGTGTCCTGGTGAGGAAAAGCTCAGTCGGGCAGCCACTTTGTCTGCCGCATTATTCCTGGTGTGCAGTGGCAATGAGGTCGAGGTGTTCAGTGTGCAGACAAGACTTCTGGTCTGGCCAAATTGACTGACACTTGAACTAAGGTCCTCGGTGTGAGGGGGACTCCTGCGTGAACTGCTCTTTCCCTGTATGCGGACAAGACCTCTAAGGGACCTTCTGTCAGATGCTACAAGAGACACCCCAGTATATTCAAGAAGATTTGAGGTACCCAGCAAGAGCTCAGCCATGGCACAGGCCCCTTTGAGAAGAACAAAGAAAATGGGAGTCTTTATATATGGCTAGCTCATCTTCCAACCTCAAGCATTTGCAAAACTAAAAGCAGCTGGAGTGTAATATTTTGTTCAGAGCATCATTACCAGGTATAAGAGTCCATCCCTGGAGATTCTGATTTAATAGTCCAGAGATAGACCCCAGGCTGCTGGCTATGTTTTAAAGTTACTGAGTGGGATTCTGTGGCAGAAAGGCCTTACTTTGAAAAACACTTGCCTAAGGGCACCTGGGTGGCTCAGTCAGTTAAGCACCTGCTTTCAGCTCAGGTCATGATCCTGGAGTCCCGGGATCAAGCCCCACATTGGGCTCCCCGCTCAGTAGGTAGTCTGCTTCTCCCTCTCCCTCTGCCCCTTCCCACACTGCTTGTGCTCCATTTCTCTCTTATAAAATCTTTAAAAAAAGAAAAATACTGGCCTAGAGCAGGCTTTTGCTTCTTTGGGTCATGAACATCTTTATACATTCTGTTCTTGGAGAGACACACATAAATATTTAAAAATGTTTAGGAGTCTTGGGGCGCTTGGATGGCTCAGTCGGTTAAGCATCTGCCTTTGGCTTGGGTCATGATCTCAGGGTCCTGGGATGGAGCCCCACATCCCGCATCAAACTTCCTGCCCAGTGGGGAGCCTGGTTCTCCCTACTCCCCTGCCACCCCAACCCTCCCCCTTGTGCTTTCTCTCAAATAAATAAAATCCTTTAAAAAAATGTTTAGGGGTCTTTAAAAGCGCAAATCAACTTGCCCTTATTTTACATGGCTTAGACTAGTTAGGAATGGGTCATGAGGTCATGACTTTGACCTTTCAATCTGGCCATGTGGATGGGGCTCATTTGTTATGGTTCAGACAAGCATTTCTCTTGATGCACCAAGGGAACAGTAGGAAAACCCTCTCCTGGCTTAAAGTGCTTTGGGGTCTTAGCCTTTAAAGACCTATGGTAGCAGAGAGAAGAGGGAGCCCCATCTCTGGTGGGAGTATCCATGCCAAGAAATGAGGGGCTGAGAATGGAGTGAGGCTGAGGCTTAAGCATTTCACTTAATTTCATGATTAAGTGAATTTCACGAAGGATTTCATGATTTTGACACTCAAAAATCAATTAAATGGCAGAAAGATGGGTCACAAGGACAGGAAGCAGAGGAGCTCGGTCTGGTTTGGGGGCCCTAAATGAGCCTTGAAAACTTCAAAGCACTTGGAGAAAAGTAGTAATTATGGCAACTTTAATTGGCAAGCTGAGGGCAGGATCCAGATATGGCTTTGAATTTGACAACTGGTGTTGCAGGCTGGGCTTTCCCCGGGCAGTGCTGAGGGTGAGGCAAGGGAAGGGTTCTCTTTAGGGAGTTAAAAGCTGGCACAAAGGTAGTTCCTGTTGCCAAGGTGCTTCTTTTCACTGCATGTCTCCCTTGTGACAAGATGGCACCTGAGCCAACCCTCCCAGTAAATGTTAGGGTAAGCCAGGTCCTGGTGGGGTCAGATTTGAAGATTAAATTGATATCAACTCAGTTGGTTATTTGACCTGAACAGTGTCTTTTCCCCCAAAATTTTCCACCTCTTCCTTTAGAAGCTTCTCTGGCTTGGCAAATCTGGTTTCTTCCTAAGGTAAGCCAGACAGGATATGGGGTACAGCTGGATGAAGGCAGGTGCGCACAGACCAGCAGAAGACATAAGCCCCTCCTTGAGGGGGTGAGGGAGGCAGGAACGAGTGTGCCTGTGGCTTGCTGTTTCGTCAGTGGGTCAAGGCTGGACTCTGACCACAGCGGAACTGGGTGGCTGATGAATAATGGAGTCACAAGGGACCTGGCTTGGGTATACAGATGAGCCGTTCCCTTGGCTACTAACCCCAAGTGTTCCTGGCCTTGTCCCTCTTTGTTCACGATGAGATACGTAAAAAGAGAAGAGGGAAGCTCTGCTTCTATTTGCCCTGGAACTCTCATCTCAGGCTGGTTGCTCCCCTGCCTTGCTTTACTATGTGGCTGTTCTGTCATCTTGGAACTGGGCTTCACTGGCATTGGGTTGCTCTGTCCCTAGTCCAGGTTCATTGCTTGGGAGCCATCGTAGGGAGGGAGCAGATGCCTCCAGAACTCTGGCTGAGACACGGGCAAGGAACTCAGGAGTAGTGTGGCAAAGACAGCAATAAACCAAGAACCCTGGAGTTTCACTCTGCATGTGACCTTGAACGAGTTGTTTGCCTTCCCCAGTCTCAGAGTCCTCAGATGCAAAAGGATAGAAAAGCTAAGATCTCTTCCAGTTCCAAAATGTGATGAGTCCCTTCTGGCTGGGTGGAGGGTGGCTAAGGCCTGAGCGGTAGGGCTGTCCCAAGGAGGCCCAAGGAGGACTGGAAGGCATACTGAGAGCCTTCTGTCTTCAAAACTAGGAACTGCCCATCAGCCCAGAGTCCTCCCGTGGTGTGACAGAGACACCTCTCGTTTTGGCGCAAAGAAGAGAGCCCTGAGAGCCTCTTCCTGACTGGGCTGTCCTTTCCCAGCTACACGGTTCCCTCCTTGGGCAGTTACAAGGGCAAAATGAATTGATGGACAAGACTTTGTAAACCAGAGAACGTGATACAAGCAAACATCTGAAATAAAGCCTGCTTTTCCTTCCTTCCAACCGCGCTTTCACACAGGCACCGTCGCCCAGAATCCCTGGGTCAGGGGAACATGAATGCTATCCACCAGTTTGCAAACTCAAATGGCTACAGGAGCCCAACGGGTCAGGAAAACAAGGGGAAAATGGCCAGCGGAGAGGGCCTGCTGTACCAGGGATAAGGACAAGCGGGGACGAGGGCCAGCTGACACCGGCTGAAGCCGGGAAGGGCTAGTGGGCAAGGCCAAGCAGCTGCCCTGTACCTCCTGCCAACTGTGCTTTTGTGGGAGCTCGGGTCCGGTTGTCAAATCCTTGGCTTTTTCCAAAGAGGCCAGAAACCTGAATTTTTGTGTGAAATATCCTTTTAAGTCTTAACTATGATCTGTAACATTTTTAAATGTTGGTTGGACCAAAAAGAATTTGTGAAAGGTTGCTACAAGCCAGATTCATGGCCATCAGTTTTTAACTCCGGCAGTAAGACAATGGATACAGCAAATTTCCCTTCTGCCTCAATCCTCTTCACGTGTCTAGGTGGAAAACCAGCTTTTTCTCCTGCACAGCGGAGGTCTTGTGCATGTGCTTAGCTCAGCCCTCACGGAACAGAGGGGTGTGTGGGGTCTGGGACCACAGGGAGCAAGGTGGCAGCTGATCAAACTTGTGAAGGCCTAAGAGAAAAGGGTCCTCATTCCCCAGGTCCACCTTTTGCCTGGAATTCTGGGACCTCCTTAGAGCTGCCTCAGAAGGTTCAGGCCCCTGAGCCCAACCTGGGCCTCAGGCAATGTCTAGATCGTCATCCTTTGCCTGGACATCTTTGAGACCATCACCCACACTCCTGGAATATTTCTGGGTAGTGCTGGAAGCCCACAGGTGGGTCCAGGTCCTCTTGGCTGGAGGCCAGAGGCACAGGCAACACACTGGCACCACGGCCCCTGTGCCCCCCGGCGCCGGGCCTGTGGACCCACTGGTGCTTGGCCATGGCTGACTTCTGGCCGAAGCACCTGCCGCACTGGGGACAGGGGTAGGGGCGTTCACCACTGTGGGTTCGCCGATGGGCTGCCATTTCGGAGCTCTGCCGGAAACAGCGCCCACAGTCTGGGCACGGGTAGGGCTTCTCGCCTGTGTGCGTGCGAATGTGGCGCCGAAGGTCTGACGCATGCGCAAAGGCGCGGCCACAGTCCAGGCAGGGGAAGGGAGTCTCGCCACTGTGGACCCGCTGGTGCTGGTAGAGGGCAGAGCTCTGGCTAAAGCAGCGGCCGCAGTCGGCACAGCAGTAAGGCTTCTCGCCCGTGTGGACCCTTAGGTGAGTGGTGAGGGCAGAGCGCTGGGTGAAGGCCCGGCCACAGTCCGGGCAGCGGTGGGGCCGCTCCCCGCGGTGGATGGCCCGGTGCTTGCTCAGAGAGGAGGCCTGGCTGAAGCCCTTGCCACAGTCCGGGCAGCGGAAGGGCTTCTCACCCGTGTGCGTGTACTGGTGCTCCACCAGCGTAGAGCGCCAGGCAAAACTCTTCCCACACATGTAACAGCCATGACGCTGGTCGGCTCTTGGGACAGGGGGGTGGGCACAGAGTCGGGGGCGACCCCGGCGAGGTGCCTTGGACGGCTGCTCCAAGCTATAAGGGAGCCCAGCAGAAGAACTTTGCATTAGAGCCTTCAGTCCAGGAGGCCCAGCTTCCACAGAAAGGCTCTTCTCCAGGGCCTCAGTCCCTTCTCCTTGTCTTTTCTCTTCCTTGTTTCTGGAATCTGCTGGGAGGTAAGGGGAGAGCTCAGACCCTGGCTTATCCTGGTCCTTAAGGCCAAACCTCAAATGGTGACAGAAAAGCCTTCTAGACACAGCCACCTTCTGGACCCACTGCAGCCTCTGGGACTCAGCTGGGGACAGGGAGGGAAGCTCGGAGTGACACCTTTTCCTGGGCTGCAGAGGACAGAAAAGACCCGGAGACGGAAGGAAGGAAGGAAGGAAGGAGGGTGGAAGGAAGGAAGGAAGGGGCACCATACATTCTGCCTCAGAGCTGGGGAAATGGGAGCAGAGGGGACATTTTCGCTGGATCACGGAGGATGAGTGGAGGTCTCAGGACACTCCGGGCAGCAGGAACAGTGGAGGAGAGGCAGGAAGGTGGCCGACAAGAAGAGAGGGGCACAGATTCGCTGGAGAGGCAGGTAGCTGGGTCCTGCGAGCTAGCAGAAGCCGGGGCCACACTCCCAGCCCCCTTCTGGGCTGAACACTGCAGCGAGGCAGGGGCCGCCATGGAAACCTCAGCGGGGAAAGCAATTCAGGGAAGAAAATGAGGAGCAGGGAGGGTGTTGGCTGAGGGCAGCTGGATGGCTCTGGCCCAGAGGAGGTCCCAGGAGACGCAGTCCCCAATACTTCACCTGCGTCTGCTTCTGGCAGACACTCTCCCACCTCCGGATCTCGGGCAGCCGGGCCCCACAGGTCGGCCTCTTCCTCCACCCAGGAGATGAGAGCTGGCTTGGTGCCACGGAACCCTGGAGGAGGAGAACGCAAACCCCACGCTGCCGGGAGGACACCCCCCGCGCTCCCGGATCCCGGGCTCTCGGGCCTCCCACTGTCGGCGCCCGCCCGGGAGGGTAGGCGGGGTGGGCGGGGATGTGGCCGGGGCGAGCAGGCGGGGCCTCACCGAGCGCGCCCAGGTGGCGGTAGGTCTCCCGCATCACGTCCCGGTACAGGGCCCTCTGCGCGGGCCGCAGACAGCCCCACTCCTCCGGGGAGAAGTACACGGCCACGTCCGCGAAGCTCACGGCGCCCGGCCTTCTCCGCTCGCGCGCGGCGCCGACCGGTTCCCGCGCGGGGAGCGGGGTCCGCAGCGGCGACATGGCAAGGGCCGGGCCGGAGTCTGTGGAGCCAGCCGGGCGGAAGCCGCAGCAGCCGGCCCCTGGAGGGCCCACCAGGGTGGCTAAACACTGAGAGCCGCTGGCGGAAGGGACACAGAGCATCGGACAGTAATGGCGGAAACGCGCCGCGCGAACGTTGCTCCTACGCAACCGTGTCCCGATGACGCCTCCCCCGGGGTCTCCAGGTGCCTTTGTCCTCGAGCCCTCAGCCAAAATGGCCGCGACGGCTACCAGTGCGGGAGAGGGCGGCCTTGGGCCACCCTTGCCCCGCGAGGGGCCCGCACCAACCGCCGCGCTGGGAGGTGCAGCCTCAGCCCCGCCGGGGTTTGGAGGCGGGACGAGCGCGGCGGGAGGTGCGGGAGGACTCCGCCCGCTCTGCCCTTGTGAATTTCACGCGACTTGTCGCCGGGAGGTTCCTAAGTGGGTTTCCGGCTTTGGGCCTGTCCTTGGGCGACAGCACACTTTTCCCAATGTTGAGAGGAGAAAAACGGAGTGGGTAAAAGAGAACCTTCTCTACTGGAAGCTTCTTGGAGCCTGAAATTCTGGGAGCTTCTATTTCAGGAGATCGTGGGGGCGGCTGGGAGGGGTTGGGTAAGGTCTGTAAAAAGAAAGACCCACTTTCTGCAGGCTTACTTTCTCCCTACTTGCCCTGCAGGAGGCCTCTCAAATATTTGTTTACTTCTAGCTCAAGCCTCGCTCCTAAGCTCTGATCACAGAGCCACCACCCCGCACGAATTCCCACTAGCACCTCGCACTAGGCAGGGCTCCAGCTGAACTCATCATCTCTTTCTTCTCCCTGCCTGCTCCTCCTGGGGACCTTATGAACAAATGGCATCAACGCTCCCTATCCTTTCTACCTCCAGCCTCCCTCTCTCACTCCACACATTTTTGGATGGCGTTCTCTGTGTCCCCACATGCCTTCATAAATACTCTACCTTTTTTCTTAAAATGTTTTTTCTTTATTTGACAGAGATCACAAGTAGACAGAGAAGCAGGCAGAGGGAGGGAGGAAGCAGACTCCCTGCTGAGCAGGGAGCCCATTGGGCTCCATCCCAGGACTCTGAGATCATAACCTGAGCGGAAGGCAGAGACTTAACCCACTGAGCCACCCAGGCGCCCCATAAATACTTGATAATTTTCCTTTGGCTGCCTAAATCACTGCATTTCACATACCTCTTGGAAATGCACCTCCCCTCACCAGGTCTGGGGTCTAGTCTGGAGCTTCTCTCTGCTTGCCTTCTTCCAGAGGTCTTCCTGAGGCTTCTGCCTAATGCGTTGTATCTGGTGGAGGCTTCTGCCTAACGCGTTGTATCTGGTGGAGGCTTCTGCCTAACGCGTTGTATCTGGTGGAGGCTTCTGCCTAACGCGTTGTATCTGGTGGATGCTTCTCCCCACACTAGAGGAGCTGGGCAAGTAGAGGTGATCAAAGCAGAAGGGGGAAAAGGAAAAGACAAAAAGCCTGGGAAAAGGTAAGGATGCAGATTTGCCCAGGGATTTGACTGAGCCCTAGTTACCCCTAGCCTCAGGTCCCTGAAGGACACAAGGAGAAAAACAAAACAAAACAAAACAAAACAAAAACACAAAATTCCAGTAAGAGTAATGGCATTTTATCATGTCAGTGCCCACCCTTCACGGTGATGCTTCTCAAACACAGGCCTGGAAGAGGTCTGGGTGGTGCTGGAAACTCACAGATGGGTCCGGACACTCCTGAGGAAGAGCCCAGGGCAGAGTTCACACCCGTGTGTCAGCCCTTGAGGTCCTCGGCACCAGGCTGGCACTGGGGTCTACTGGTGGTCCTCTGCCTGAAGCACCTTCCACACTGTGGACAGGAATAAGATAGCTTGCCTGTGTGAGTCAGCAGGTAGCATGAGAGGTACTAGCTGTGGCAGAAACAGGTGCCACACTAGGCACGGACAAAGGCTTGTCTCCAGAATGCACTGAGTCAGATGAAAGGTCATGGCAAAGTGTGCCTTCTCTCGGGCAGGTGCTGTGTGAGTACAAGTCACTGAGGCTGGGTCTAGAGTTGGGGCTTGGGAAAGGCCTGTCTACCTGGGATGCTTTGACCCCAGGCTCAGACACCAAGCTAGTGTCCCTGGAGGCTCATGACAACTCCCCAGTAGACTCCTTCTGCTGGTTTCTTCCAAATACATCATTTTTTCTGAGTGGCCCTTTGAAACACAGCAAATTCAAATTTTAATTTTTGTCCAGTTCAGTCAAACTCTACTAAATGTTCAGGTGACAGAATCAACTTTCACAAGTGCAGATGGGTGCTTAGCCCCTGGAAGCACCCACCTAGATTGTGTTGACCAATTGAGGGGGTCACAGCAAGTCAGGGACATTCCCACTTCAGGACCAACCCAAAGAGATACCCTCAACCAGAGGAACAGCTGTTACAAGGCACAGGCACTTAGACAGAAAGGTGAACTGCTTCCAACCTAAACTTTAATTCATACACTGCCGCTGACCTAGAGATTGGATAATTTGTGCAGTGTGACCTGACCTTGGGAATCCTGGATGCCTCAGTCAATTAGTGAAAAAGAGAAGGTCAAGATTCTAGTCTCCAGTGGGTATCATAAATTCAAGCCAGCAGAACATAGTAAGGAACATATAGATGATCTTTCTTTTGTTCTTTTCTCTCTCTCTCTTTTTTAAAAGATTTTATTTATTTATTTGACAGACAGAGATCACAAGTAGGCAGAGATGCAAGCAGAGAGAGAGGAAGCGAAGCGGGCTCCCTGCTGATCAGAGAGATGCAGGGCTTGATCCCAGGACCCTGAGATCATGAATGAGCTGAAGGCAGAGGTTTTAACCCACTGAACTACCCAGGTGCCCCTCTCTCTTTTTTTCTTAAGATTTTATTTGTTTATGTGTGAGAGAGAGAGAGACAGAGAGCATGAGTGGAGGGTGAGGCGAGAAGCAGATGGAGAGGGAGAACCAGACTCCCCCCCCCCCCCCCCCCCGAGCAGGGAGCCCAATGCGGGGCTCAATCCCAGGACCTGGAGATCATGACCCAAACCAAAAGGAGACACTTAAGTAGCTGAGCCACCCAGGCACCCCTAGATGGTATTTCTTGTTCAATAAACATCTCCCCTTCCAGCTGGACCTGGAGCATAACCCCTAGTTCTCATCTTTCTTTCTCTCAGGCATCCACCTGGGGATCCTGAGCATCCACAGTTGGGCCATCTGCTCTGCCCAGGAGATGAGGGCTGGTTTGGGGTCTGGGAATCCTGGAGAAGAACCCTAATCACTCAAGAAACAATTCATTCATCTAATGAAAACATATTGGGCATCGTTTGTTTGGCAGGCATTGTTCCAGACAATCTCGGTGCTGGGAGGCATTGGTGAACCAAGATAATATTCCTGTTCTAAGTTTATACTAACCTCTAAATTTACACTAACGGAGAGAGATGCCGCCTGGGGGAGAGCTATGGGGACAAAGGTAAGAGACCTTCAGGCAGTTACAGAGCCAGACAAAGAGCTGCAGTTGAGACTTCCTGCTTGGGGCAGAAGGGCTCCAAGAGGAATTTCTTAGAGACCGCATTTGCAATCAAATGCTCTTCCCCTGAGCTATACCCCCACTTAGAGACCGCATTTGAAAAGGGTACTGAAAGATGTTAGATTATGCTCCTTAAGCCAGATATGTGTCCAAAAACCCCCTAAGATTCCTTGTAGCTAGAGCCAATGGAATCATTAGGCTGTAGGGAGAGACTGGGTTTGAACTGGAGGTTAGCAAGCCATGCATGGGGTTTCACGCTGTGTTACACAGGTTCTGAACTTTTTGCAGAAGTCCTGGGGAACCACGGAAGAGCCTGCCAAAGTCGCTCCGTTGCAAATTTCAGCTGGGCCGATCTGGCGGGGGTCACGGGAAACGAAGTCATCCGAGAGGAGGAGTGAGGCCGAGTCCGGCACTCAGAACTCCGCATCCCATCCGACCCTCTCCCTTTTCAGACACCCGGGATGGCCGGACCTCACCGAGCGCACCCAGGTGGCTATCGATCTCCCGCATCACGTCTAGGCACGTAGGCCTCAGCGCGGGCCGGAGACACGCCCATTCCTCGGGAAAGAAATCTGCGGCTACCTCCACGAAGTTCACGGCCCTGGGTATTCTCCCCCTCCTCCTTCCGGCGGGCACCTCAGCACGGAGCCGGGAATAAGGCCAGGGACCCAAACGCCCCTCCCCAACAGCTGCCCCGCACCGGGCAGGGGACGCCCAGGATCCGGCCTCCAGCGAGCTAGGCGACCGGAAGTAACCTCGGATGTGGCCGCTCTAGGACAGCTAGAAAAGGTCGGTTCTGCAAACTCGGTGGTTCCACGACAGACAAAATGAAGGCGCCCTCAGAAAAGATGGTGGCATTCCAGTACTTTTTCAATTTTAGAGAAGCATTTAGCAGAGTCACTGTGGGCCTGGTATTGATGACCTGGTTAATTACGCTCTCGAGCTGTCTTTTCTGTTCCGCTAGCCGCCTTGGGAGCGCCACTTGCCCACAGTTAAGATGGCCGCGGCCGCTTCGGCGCCCGTGCTCGGGTCCTCCGAGGGAGAGGGGAGGAGGCTCCGGACTGTGACGGCAGCCGGCGGCTAGGGTTCCGAAAGACGGGGAAAGGGGCCAGGATTCAGGGGGCCCTCGGCCTGGTGATTCTCTCCCAGGCTCCTTCAGAAAGCCCATTCAGTGACCTGGTCTTAAAAGAAAATTTATTTTGCCAAGCTAGTTCATTTCTCAACTTTTTTTTCATTTACAAGTTACATCGTAATATTCTGTGACGTCTCTCCCCACCCTTTTCTTCTATTATCACTTTCTTGAACATCCCTCCAGATATAGCCTATCTATTTCCATACATTTGCTAGTGCTTTAACCGAGGACACTGGGCGGAAGGCTTCTGAATGCCTTGGAGTTCAGCTACTTGACAGAAGAGGAAACTGAAGCCTGGTGGTTACCAAGGTCGGGCAGACCATTAGTGCCTGAGCGGCTTCAGACTCAATTTGAGCCTTTTCCACCATCTCGCGCTGCCTCCTCCAGGCCTGTTCCAGGAAAGCAACTGAAGACTTTGAATGTACTGACCCCTACTGAACTCCATTCTCCGTTTAAGTGATGATTGTGTAGAAAGTAAAGGAGTTACTGAATCACCCGGCTCATTTGTTTCAACACTCTGTGAAGGAGCCCCCAGACTTCCCAAGTCCAAGCTCCTCTAACATTGGCCGACTATGCAAGGCTGCATTTGGTTCTGTGCTAGGACTAAGACATCAATCATGTTAGTTTACCTCACTTGATCACTTAGTATATGCCAGGCTGTTCAAAGTGCTCGCGCCTGTTAACTCATTGAACTCTCACCATCCCTCAGTGATAACTGCCCTTCTGGGTCAGGAAACTGGAGCACAGAGGGATGACCTTGCCCCAGGCCACCCAGCTAGTAAGTCAGGAAGCCAGGATTCAAACCCAGACAGTCTAACTCCAGAACCCCACGCTGTAATGCTTCGAATAATTCAAGGTACAGTGTCAGCAACCACAGAGTGAGGTAGGATTGAAGCCAGGTTACCAAGATGCAGTTGAAATGTGAAGTAGTGTGTGGAACAGCAACCTGGGAGGTCAGAAGAGCGGCTTCTGGTCGCCTCTGCAATTCCATGCTGTTATGTAAATGTAAAGAGAAAAAAAAAACTTAAATGGTGGGCTATGGTAAGTATTGAAAGTAAGTAAAAGCGTTGTATTTAAGGGTCGTGTCATGGGAAAAAAAAATGTCGTTCAGGTGTTTAGGAGGTATGTGAAATTGCCCCGGGGGGAGGGTGATGACAGGCTTCACAAAAGGTACCCTGTTGTTGCTCTCACCACTGGTCTCCTCTCACTCAGACCCTTGCTGTGACCCCTGGGTTGCCTGGCTGGTCTCTGGGCCTCCTGCCTTTTGCCTTTCCCATCCGTCAACACCGCAGCCTGGCTTAGTGAAAAGAGCAAGAGCATCCCCTGAGAATCTGGGGACTTCTACTGTGTGACCTTAAGTAAGGTCCTTCCCCTCTCTGGGCCTCAGCCTTTCTCAGAGCGTATTCTGTGCAACAGTATTTACATGAAAGTCTGTGGAAAGAACCAAGCATTCTTCCCCATGTCCCCCCGAGAGTCTCCTCAGCAAAGAAACCTATTCCACCCACAGCTTCCTAAACCCTGCTTCAACCTTTGAACCCAGCAGCTCCCCAAAGCTCCCTTCATGTTCCAAAATGCTGTGGTCCTCCCTGTCATCACCTCCCAACCCCGGGTCACCCCAGGAACGGGCCCCTTCATCCTCCTCCTCACTCAGCCAAAAATCTTATCATCATTCCTGGCTTATCTGATGCTCTCAGCCCCCACGTCCAGCCCACAGACAGGTCCTGTCCCTTTCACTCCCAGTGTTTCCCTCCGACCTTCTGCGACTCTCCATCTCCATTCTGCTTGCCCCACTGCACTCCATTCTCAGAGTAGCCAGAGTGGGTTTGCAAATCACATTACCTATGAGGTCCCTAGAATAGTCAGACTCAGAGGGAGAGAAAATGGAATGGTGGTGTCGGGGTGGGGGGAGAGTGGGGACATAGTGTTTAACGTGTACAGGTTTCAGCTGGGGAAGATGGAAAAGTTCTAGAGAGGGCTGGTGGTGATGGGTGCACACACGTATTGTACTTAATGCCACTAAACTCTATACTTAGAAATATTTGAGGGGCTCCTGGGTGGCTAAGTCATTGAGCATCTTGCCTTCAGCTCGGGTCATGATCCCAGGGTCCTGGGATCAAGCCCCACATCAGGCTCCGTCCTCGGTGAGAAGGCTGCTTCTCCCTCTCCCACTCTCTCTGCTTGTATTTCCTCTCACTATCTGTCTCTCTGTCAAATAAAGAAAATCTTTTAAAAAAATATTGGGGCGCCTGGGTGGCTCAGTGGGTTAAAGCCTCTGCCGTCAACTCAGGTCATGATCCCGGGGTCCTGGGATCGAGCCCCGCATCGGGCTCTCTGCTCGGCGGGGAGCCTGCTTCCTCCTCTCTCTCTGCCTGCCTCTCTGCCTACCTGTGATCTTTGTCTGTCAGATAAATAAATAAAATCTAAAAAAAAAAAAAATATATATATATATATATATATATATATATATATATATATATATTTAGGGGCACCTGGGTGGCTCAGTGGGTTAAAGCCTCTGCCTTCGGCTCAGTTCATGGTCTCAGGGTCCTGGGATCGAGCCCTGCATCGGGCTCTCTGCTCGGCGGTGAGCCTGCTTTCCCCCTTCCCTCTCTGCCTGCTTGTGATCTCTGTCAAATAAATAAAATCTTTAAAAAAAAAACCATATATATTTAAAATGGCAAATTTTGCTGTATTTTACCACAAGGCAAAAACAAACACAACCCAGTGGTTTTCCAATATGTTTAGAATCAAATCTAGATTTGGCACCATGGCAAGCTAGAGTTCTATGACCCGCTGCCTTTCCCCTCTGAGCTCATCTGTGATTCTTCTCCACTCGGTTCCTCAGTGCAGCCACCAGGGTCCTTTCTGCACCTCACCCAAACTCGTCCCTACCTCAGAGCAGGGCACCTGCTACTTCCTCTGTTTGGAAACATCCCCCAGCCCCCCTACCCTAACTCCCAGCCTCTGAAACCCTGCACTGCCCCCCTCCCACAACCTGCCACCTGACCTGTTTCCCCTTGGGTCCTTCTCATCATCTGGGTCTTAGCTCAGTTCCACACCAAGACCCAGCCTAAGTACCTGTCTGCAACAGATGCTTTGAGGACATCTTCTGTTTTAGTACCTTTGTAGTACTCATTATTTACAGTTATAATAACTTGTCTCCTGTACTGGCTTATCACTTTTCTGTCTTACTTTTTTGTATTTTATTTATTTATTTGAGAAAGAGAGACCAGGAGCAGCGGGGAGAGGGAGAAGCAGGCTCCCCACTGAGCAGGGAGCCCTACATGGGGCTTGATCCCAGGAGCCTGGGATCATGACCTGAGCCAAAGGCAGACATTTAACGGACTGATCCACCCAGGCGCCCCACTTGTCTGTCTTACTCATGTGCTGGCTTATCACTTGTTTTACCCCACCCTTCTCGAACGTAAGCTCCACAACAGTTCATTATGTTTTCCACGCTGTATCTCGGCACACAGAATAGTGCCTGGTACACAGCAGATGCTTAGAATGTATTTGTTAAATGGATAAACAAAGAAAAGAAAAGAAAAGAAAAGAAAAGAAAAGAAAAGAAAAGAAAAGA